GCACTCACGTTAGTGGATTGAAGAAACGCGGTACTCAATTGTGATTGTTGGATCGCTCTCCGCAAACCGTGGCCTGGGAACGGAATACTCTGGGCAATGCGATCATCACGGCCAATTTGCATGGTATAGCTCCATACTTTTGAAATTGGATCTAAACGGTTCAATATCAGACCTCCCCAAGGCACAGTTGTAGCAGCTTGAGCGAGACTAATAGCCAATTGTGGTTGACTATCTACTAGTGCAGCATCTTCCCCTCCAACAAGAGGTGGTATGTTTAATTGCGCCACGCTCTCGAGTGTGGAACTAATACGATTTGCTATTATATTATCCAATTGGTCAATCTTATTGACCTTTACATAAAATGGTACTGGCACAAGAGCTTCGGCTTCATAAGATGTGGGTCCTCCCGAGTTTGTTATGTTTACATAATAATTTGTCGTTATTGAGCCTAGCAGACCAGAATCCCCTCTGGTTGATTGTAAGGCGAAGGCGGCTAAAGAACCCGGATCCAATGGCGTATTCTGAGGTAAGACCAGTGGACTCTTCAACGGTTTGTCTCCAGCATCAACGCCGAAACTTTCAATAACAAATAGTTGTTGAAAAGTTTGAGATTTTGCTAAAGCAATCACATTCCGTGGGTTGGTAAAGTTGAGCCATCCCCCTTCTGGCGCAGGTCGAAAAGTACTAGAATAATAAAATGGTGAGATTAATGAGTGAGCTCATTCAAGCAATGTACAATTTCATAAGTCATATACCTATCCAGCCTTAAGGAGGCATTCACATTGGGGTCCACTTCGTATGGTTCGCGAATCGGATAGTCTTGCCTCATCCAGATCACACAATCATCTGGCGCATCTGGCAGAGAGAAAAAGTCAAAGCTTACTAACGGTATATAGAAATTAGCGTGTTTTACGGTGGAAAATTTTTCCGGCACATTTGGAACTTCAGATGCCGGTGTTGAGACGAGATCATCATATGTTTGTTCATAATCTACGTTTCGCGGGTCCACCGATTTTACTTGGGAGCACATTAAAATTTCTAGAAATGCAATATGGGTCTTTTATTAGAACGTTATCCGATATATGCATAATTATTTTTCCTATTTATAACGCACCCACTGCCGGATTATTCTTGAGGACCAAGTGTGTCACAATAATAGCCATCAGACCCGCAATTGCAACCATTAATATTGGACATAGCGTGACGCAGCAAACATTTACGACCCATTGTCTTTTCTGATAAGCTAATGACTTGCGTACCTGTGAATATCAAGATTGTGAGTGTCAAGTTTTGAATCAGAAACGAATATCAGATCGCGTTATCTTGCGCGCAATCTACGTTCCGTACGACATACCAAAGCTCGCAACGGATAGCTTTTCCTAGATTCAGTCGATACCAAAGAGTGAATCGATATGGATTGCTTATCCAACTCGATTGATGGAACCTTGTTGTAAAACCCTAAAATAATATGGTTCAGTCACTTTGTACTATAGATGCAACCATGAGTAAAAAAAGTACGTAAACTCACCTTTCTCATTAGTGTATGCTGTTGACACACTGCTAGATTTTGGGTCGGCATATTTTTGACCTTTGGCACCGTTCACGTTATGCGCATATGAATAGATTGGGTATACGTTTGATTGCAACTCGGGGGTACTTTTAACTTCGTACCTCGCGCCATACTCATCAGGATCAACAGCTGCCCCATAGCGAGCATCCGGTGAGTTATAAATAGACGTGAGATCTTGCATCGGAAGTACAGCTATGCCAAATTGTTCTTTCTTCTCTATGAAAGACTTGAACCAACCAAAGATTGATTTGCGAGGTACGTTCTCTTCTGGAGTCATGGGCGCTTCTTGGATGGGTATTCCTATGCTTGGTTTCTGACCAGATACTGTATTGGTTGAATTTTCTAGATCTAAAACTGCCACAGAGTCGCCCGGTATTTCTTGATACGCGGGACTCTCTTCATGTATTTCTGGCAACCGTTGGCGGACTTGATGAGGTTGCAACTCTGTATTTATTACCGTGTCTTCATTTCTAGCGTGAGGTATTAAAGAATGTTCTTGGGTCTTTGGGATCGATTTGAGCTGCGGAGTGTTATTTACGTTGTTTATATAGGGTTGTTTATTGTGTAGCTTGTTTTCGATTGGTGTTGGTAGAGTATGAAATGCCGAAGGCGGCATCTCGTAAACAGTGCCTACTGAATGTGGTGTTGCAATTTTATTATTCTGGTCCGCATTTGTATACCATGTTTCATTGCCCACAAGCGTGTGAGAGGTGTCTCCAGAAATTGAGCTAAATCGATTGCCCAGCTCGGAAATATTTATCGACGTATGTCCGAACTTGGATGAGCGAACATTTACAGGGGTGTTTGCAGATTTTGGCACTTCCAAGAACTTGTTACCTTGAGACGCATTAAAGGTATCTTTATCTTGAGAAATCTGCGCCAACGGGACTAGTTGTCGATAAGCTCTATTCGATTTACTTACGGCAATTGGTTTTCGACCATATTCATCAGAATGTTTTGACTCGACTAACGTATGATTGTTGGAAGTAGTTGCGCCATTAATGTTATCCGGCTGTTCTATTTTGCTAGAGTCTAATTGGGGCCTATCGTTTACTACCGCAAGATTAACCACGTCGTGTTTTATTCCGGATCCAGCAGAATTTGCCCACGGTTCAAAAGAATGATGTTTACTTTGCTGCACGTACGAAGGCTTTGCAACAAATTTTTTGTGGTTCTTTCGATCAGGAATCTCCCGTCTCTTTTTAGTGGTTGGTGGCTCACTGAGCAAATATGAGTCAATTATAGATGCAGTTGTCTCAGCCTCGACTGATTCCTCTATGCTCTCCATGAAGTCTTATGTTGATAATACTTAATTAAATGAGATATAGAGATAACTGTAAAAGGCGGACGGTGAACGCCCTAAAGATTGTGAATTTCTGAGGGAGAATTTCTGAGCAGAACACTGGTAAAGAAGGCATCGTCTCATGATTTTAAGCTCAATATGACTCAGTGATGATCAATTACGAAGCCCATCTCGGTAAGTGCAATGCTGTTTTGAGCAACATCGGGGATTAATAACGAATAGTCAGTAATTCCGAGAACGAATGTCGGTACTAATTTAATAAAATTAATGCTTACGGTCAGAATGTCGCAACATACTGATTGCTTGACTGCTGATAATATTGAACGTTAACGCGTATCTTTCAAGTATGCTTGATAAGACGAACGGCAAGCGATTAACTTTAACGATTAATTTCATGTTGGTTGTGGAGTGTGTCAATATCCTTTGAAAAGGCAATCCGAAGAGTGAAATGTAGTTGGGAAGTATGATCGTCATGCCACGAGGACAAGCTATACCATAAATACTCGTGCGCAAATTCACATGAATTCTTTAACGGGCAATAATTACACATGCAAATCATGTAAGCTCGGGCAAGTACCAATTTAAGTTCCGTTCCGCAGTAATAATGTCATGTTTTTCGATCCACCTGTTCCAGAAATATATAACTTTTTGCCTTAATTGTAGCATAGTGACCGTAGAATAGTCGAACACCATACTTGATTATTTATATAAATATTCCACAGCTCCATCTGGAAATCGTTTATCACTAGTCGCAAAACTAATATGCTGCAGCAGTAGAGACTAGTATTTTACTCAATTCGTTAGGAAATACCTACTTGTTTGTTCATATGGTACTCATGTAAGGGAGGTACATCGTAGTGATGCACATGCAAACTCGATAAGTCGGTCATGCATGGTGGACCGACTTATCAAGAGATTTTAAATACCAAAATTGAAAAAAGGGCTTGGGAAGGTTTGGCCTTAGGCCAAAATTGAATGTGTAGTGGGTATTTGTTTCAGAATTAACACATTAGATAAATACTGTATAGTAAGTAAGAACTTCGAATTAACATTAAAATTCGATTGTGATTACAGGTAACTTTTTTTATGTCTCTCCCGGTGTCTCATGTCTTGATTGAATTAGTATTGCTAACTGAGAGAAGTAATAAGTTTCAAGAATATTGACAGACAGTGAAGAGTACGATGATAATATTTGGGAATAATCGTAGATTTCTGTCGCTTTTATCAAATAAAGTTTGTGCATCTTATATTGTTAATTTTAATTCTCCGTTTTTATTGGGCAAGTTAGAAGAGGATATATTAATATATTAATATGCCAGAAGAATACCATAACTTATCCCCGGGTATAATCAATCAAAATTACCGCAGGGTATAGTACACGGGGCTATTATTAATAAATTAAGTCATCGTTAAATATCGAACCACTGCATAATCTTAGGAAATGGTAGAAAGAGGCTTGTGATATTGATATATTAGTGTTAGTATAAATTTATTATCAAAAATGTACCTTCTCTGAATGACCTTTACAATTTCTTGGTGGCACAACCAATTTACTTGACCTGAGATCATCCCACGTGCCAATTTAATAATCCCCTTCTTGATCTTCTGTTTCAAAACATTTTATCCCCGAGCATTATGGAACAACTAACGGCGGCTGACTTGCCCCGTATACTTGATTTGCTTGCGCCGTCTTCTACTGACTCCCAGAAATTTGTTGCACTTACGTTACTACCCAGACTTTTGGAACCGAATAAAGAGACGATGATGATGGTATTTGAAGCAATGGATTTCAATTTCATCGAAAGGCTATTAAGAACAAGTAACGTGTTGAAGATCATTGCTCCGTTTCCAATGTGATCGGTTTTCACTTGCAGGTACAATGAATGATAGATCTCGATTGACCAATTCTTACAGAAAGCTCGAATCCAGATATGCAAGATGAAACTCTAAAATCCATAGCAGTCAATATCTTGAGTTGCTTCTGCATGCATGACGACTTGCTGGAAAAGAAGCAACTGATAAACCGCATTCCTTCGTTGGCTAAATCTGTTGGTATTAGGTATTCTGCTAACTAATTCGTCACGAGCATTATCGATAAAAAGGCTATTCATACTCGTGCTTTTCTCGATCATAGTGAGGAAATGTCTCAGGATATATTCAAAATTTTCGTAAAGTTGTCTTCCGTGGAAAAGGGTCTAGTTCAGCTGATTGATGGAGAAGTTATTAATGCTATTCTCAATACGTTGAAGACGTCTAAAGATGGCAAGTCAATTTATCTCTATACGTATCGATTATAATTTATTATACTGTTAACATAACCCTAACCCTTTTTTATATTTTTTAGCCGAAACCAGGAGACTTGCGTTTCAAGCTGTCAACTGTATCGGGATGCGAGAATTGGCGCATCTCGCAACCAATACTAACTCGGATCTCATTTCATCATGTGGTTTGTTCAACGAAATACTGCCAGAGCTCTCCTTGCTTTTCAGAACACACCAGGATCAGTTGAAGTTTGATTTGTTAAATATGTTTGTGGACATGTTCTCATATTTCGATGATAAGGTATAACCCGCGTGATTTCTCGTTTTAGCGTGATATTCAATTACTTATTTGATTTTATCACGTGAAGTTAACACGGGAACTTCGAAAAGACACAATCAAGTTCCAACAGTGGATAGAGAATATTCGACAAGGCTTGCGGGACATTCTAAGTAGCCATTTGGGTAAGCATGACAGTCTAACGAAAATGAATTCACAAATTATCTGAATAATCTTTCATTAACTGATATCACTTGTCCTTTTCAATTGTAGGACCCGAACAGCGAGACCAGTCGCTTATACTTACGAGCCTTCTTTTACATCACTTTGATGCAGAGTGGTTGTTTTCACCTCCATCAGCGAAATTATCTTCCGACAAGCGACCAGACGAGCAAATCAGAAACGAGGCAAAGTTTGCCATTCTCGTCATTCAATTGGCATGTATCGAGATACGCTTAATGCTCGATGGCCTGGCCGAACGGCAAAGGAATAAGGCAGATAATCATGACCCTAGACTTGAGAAGATGTTACCAACGTGCTATACGATATTAGAGACGTCAATTGAATATTTGGCCAATATTGGTCAGTTGCTCGAAGAAGAAGCAGAGTCAAATGAAGACGTCTCATTGTCATTACCTATTGACCCTGAGCTCTTGTTGAAGTTAAAGAACATTCTCACAGAGACCTTTAGAGCCATCATGGATTATCTTGTAGATGTCAAGGTATCATTATAGTTTAGGTTAGCTTGTTTTCATAGTTATTGAGTAGGAATTAGTCGCTAATCAAAGCTTGCATATTAACAGACTGAATTAATGTCCGTTGAAGAAGCCTACCAAGATCCACGAATAATAGCAACAATACGCGTTTTATCTAGATACTTATCCGAAGAAGCAACTATGGAGAAAGAGGTTAGAGAAGTCATGCCTTTTCTAATGGATATGGCAGCCTACAGGTAATGATAGAAAAGGGTGATATATGCGTTCATCGGATAAAGTATTGATCGGCTTGATAATCAATTAATGAAACATATAAAATATCCTTATTTAAAAAGACTCTATTACCTGTATATGTACTACGTAAGTACAACAAATTTTGTATCTAATTGTTTGCACTATAGAAATAATAACGTTACTGCTTGAACAAGCGGGGTATTACGTTACACATACATTTCATATGCTTTCACGCTCTAAATTATTTCATCAGCATAGCTTTATAGTTGTAATGTTTTGCCTATCAAAAAATGAGAGGGTTCTTGTATGTTTTATGAATTGATTATCAAGCTGATTCGATACTTTTGTCCGATGAGTGTACATTACAAATATTTGGTAATAACATGAACATATATACTGGTCATTTGCCTGGACAGTCAGGAACATCCCTCTCAGTTCGATCTCGCGAGTATGCTGGAACCTGCTTTTCGCATGTTTGAAGACCTGCCTGAAAAAGATTCTATGTAAAGGTTTTCTCGAATTATTTTTAAAAAAAAAATTTATTTCGGGTCTGAATGATAGATCCGAAGTGTATGCATATCGGTATAGTTCTTCGTTTGGATATACTCCTAACATTTGTACGTGTAATAGTTAATCTAGTAACAAAGGCTCACAAGAACATACATCAAGGATTGCAAACACATTTATAAAGACAGAATATCTTATAATAGTAAGCAATTAGAATTTTATTTTTAATTTCAATTAAACAGAACGCGCTTCCAATCAACTTGAACTTAATCTTTGGTTGCAAATGCCAAACATGCATAGCTGTTGGGACAGTCGAGTCTGATCTCAAGCCAATTTTCAATATAATATGGAGATTTATAGGTAATGGTGGACTAATTATAGCCAATGCGCTAGCTTCTTTGACTTAACGGTTGAAATATGACAAAAGGAGATCTCGATCATATAGTTCTTCCATTATGCATGTCTAATGAAAATTAGCCAGTTGCAGTAGTCTGCATGTCGCCTCTTTGATTGCTCGGGTGGAGATTTAAATTTCGACGAGAGAATATCATATTTATCGATTACTGGTCTAATCTACATATCATTTCTGGTCAACAACCTTCAAAAATATTCTAATAATGGGCAATAGTCTCTAAAATCTTTTATGACGTGAGTGTCTCACAAGATTATATTTAACACACATTTACATTTCACGAGCATAGATCATTCGTTGTTGAGTTGTTAACAATTTATTTAGCGAAAAATCGACGTCGTATTTAATATTCTCAATTAATTTTTTACATGCGCATCAACAAGAATTATATCTACATGCATTTAAATTTCATGTACAAGTAATAATACCGTTTAATAAATATAAATTATTAATACACACGAACGTAAGAACAGACCCGGCCGAACATAATACACAACAATACAATCAGAGAAGTTTTTCGCGATTTTGAAAATTCTGGGTACATACATTATTTCTTGAATTTTCACGATTTATTGTATTTCTGTTAAAAATACTACACACCCGATCTTAGTTAATTGGGCAGGGGATTTGTGTAGCAAAGCGAAAGGGCGCGAGCAAAATAATAAACTTCTTTTTCTTATCTGGATCTTCGTATCACGTTTTGTATGTCGATATAGTTTAAATCATAAATTACCTGTATGTAGTATAGCTATCCACCTAACCTTCATTATCAAAACAATACACTCACTATCTTTGCTCGCTCCAGTTTTTTGGTCTTGTATTTGGTCGGTAATTTGGCTATCCCAACAAATTTTTCCAAGTTATTCCGATTTCAGTGGTTGTACAGACAAGTTGGGTGTGTCGACTTAAACCGCAACTATGTGCGAGTCTTGAAAACTGCATGGATGCTCCTATATTCAACAAAGAATGGTTTTTATCCTTAGAGTATTAGCGGCGTGGAAGTAACTCTGAACGGTATGGGTAGAATGTCCTCCCTTTAGCTACGATCCAACTTATGCTTTTTGTGAAAGTCAAAGCTATTAGTATTACCTTGCTTGTAGCCAATGTCAGTATAATGCGGCAGTCCAAGGGCATGGTGCAGATTGTGACCTTAGTTGTTGGACTGTGATGTTCTAGTTGGATACTCGTTAATAATGTAAGGAAAAGGTTTATTATTAATATGCTGTTATTTTAAGAACTCGCATTTTTATACTTATTATATATCTTGATAGGAAATTCGCTTTATTTTTAGTGAAATATATTTTTTGTTTTCTGAATTTTAAGCTTGTGTTATTCGCTCCCTTTTTCGTCGTCGTTCTATTTTATTGGCAATAAAGTTAACGTGTTGCGAATGGAACACTACATTGGTGATGTTTTACATATATCGATCGATCATTTCTTAATTTACCACACGTATACCAGCCAATAATAGTAATTCCCGATTATTATCAACGATTCACCTTTACATGGCTATTACATTTTTGATAACTGTAAAAGTTAATGTTGCAACGGTTTCACTTAGTGCGCAAAATGTCATTGGACTGCGATATGACGAGCGTTTGAAGAACAAGCAAATCGTTACATGTGAAATACTACTCAAAATCGTACTTAATATTTTCTGTAGTAATTTTTACACCATATCAACTAGAATTACAGTTTCAAAATATGTGGAGTCTCTGGTTCTACAATTCTTGTTTTTGAGCTACGAGCGATTTAATTTAGCGAACGATGAAAATCGATTTTCCGCAAATTTGATTTTACGAGCATAGAATCATTCGTGAGTTATTAACGATAAATCGAATTTAAAGGTTAAAATAATCTTGTCAATCAATTTGGATAATTTCTGAATACCATCCTAATTCGTAATTATACTGAGCACAAATGCTTTTCACAAATAACAAAAAATGTATAATCAGACCATTTATCAGTCTATTTAAAAATTTAACATCAAGCAGTTACCAGAATCTGTATAACAAAGCAAATAATGTAGGAGATCAATGTTTGTTATTTTTCCACAATTTCTCCTTTTCTTTCTCGTCCTTTCTCTCCTTTTTTGTTTGTCTTTTTCTCCTAAGTCTAACAAGTATTTCACTATCAACATAACTATTAAGTTCTTCAACCCAATTATTAAATCGTACCAGTATATCATAAGGTGAGCAATCCCAATCAACATATTTTAAATTAGGTAGTTGTGCACCAATTAAAGGGTTCACCATTTCATCCTTCATGCCCATACAATTTTTGATTGATAAAAATTCCATTTTTGATGCTTTAGCCAATACATTCCAAGGTCTTGCATCAGTGAAATCCACTCGTGTAAAGTAAATATATTTCAAAGAGTGGAGTTGAGATTGAAAAGATGGAAGCAGTACATACATGCCTCCATGAATGTTGTTGAATCGGACTACTTTGAGACTTTTTTGTTTACTTATAAGACTGGCAATTGGCTCCATGTCAGGCCTCAATAAGGGTCTCTTATGCTTGATTGGGTGATGATCAAATAAGTGCAATCTTTTCTGATAACAATAGAAATAGTGAGTTAGGAAAACATAAAATAATAGCGTTTTTTTATGCCTCTGCGTGATACTTACAACGTTTGAGCAAGTCTCTGCGAGTGCACGAATGAGTTCATCATACTTTTCAGTATGGTGATACATCAAACGCTTTACAGTAACAATTACTGCCCGATACTCACGTTCTTTGAGCAACGGTGAAAGATAATCTGGCATGTCCGCCTTGAGATCATTTATGTGCAACTCGGTCAATCTGACGTCATGGATAGCCATAACCTTCCAGATTTTGCCAAATAAATAAGAAACCTGTGCTTGATTATATTTAAGAAAGGAGCCGATTTGAAACATTACATTATAATATGAAAAACGTTTAAGGAATGTTGGGTATCTAAAAGTGGGTTTAGTGATATCTTCTATCAACTTTCTGCTCCTAAGTTCAGATACATCATCTGGAGGTAAACAATGGAGGTAAATAGATATCACATTCTTAATTCTGACATTGCTGAGTGCGTCCTGCCATAATAACGGTGCAGTAACTGTGCACCATAATTTGCTAACTAAAAGACAAGGATGTAGGTTTTCATCATCTAGTTCCAAGTAGAACAGAACTCTGTCAACAATCTCAGCTATTAGGAAAGGGTTCATATTCAGTTAATTGGTAAGGTTACGGATCTGACTGATATAACGTTAGTAACAAGATGTTACACGAACGATGATCAACAAATCTGATCAATGTGTGTATGGTAACACTACGAATAATTTGTCGAGTTCTTAGCGGATAATCGAAGGTGGCCGAAATTGGTTAGGCACCGGACTAAGTTACTATTACACCAATAAATATGATTTTTGACACTAACTTCGGAATTGGCAATCACTATCTTATTGGATTATTTGGTATGAAGAGCGAGAATCAAATAATACTTATCAGCGAAGCTATTTACTTTGTATTTCTTAAGATTTAATGGCGATCATGAACTGTTATATACGCCAGCAGATCAAATAATACCCAAATTGGTACGTGTGTGATTTGTAGCAATAGCAACTTTGAATGTGACACGAACAAAACAGTAGGTTTCGTGTCATGCGGGTTTTTCTTTAGAATGGTGAGCATATAATAAAGTGTTTGTTGTAATGTATACAGCAATTAATTCAAGAAAAAGGTTTACATCTAAAGTTCTATTTTGTCAAATTTATTATTATTAATATCATCAGTAAGAACGCTTGAAGAAACGTTCAATTAACAATAAACTTGCATAAAAACATTCTGCAGGTATCCACATTACAAAGTATTCGTTTCAATACTCAGCAAGTTGACAAAGAATAACTTATTGCTAAGAACGCAAATAAGATACTTAGGTTTTATAATAAAAATATTGCGAGTTACGTGAATAAGCACCTTACAGATTATCGCTATTAGCAACATAACCTACCCTCGCCAATAGTTTATTACATATGGTAATTCTGATATTCATTAAAGAGCGAGTATGGCGTTGGAATGTATTTAATTTAGTATTAGTAGGAGAAAAAACCAGTACCAAATGAGGCACAAATTTCACAATGCAACTAATCTGTGGAATGACTACATTTACTTGCTTTCATGGATTAATGGTTTAAAAATTGACATTCGTTAAATTATTACAACTACTATGGCTCTGCATCAGCATAAAAGGCATATTAATATATCAATTCTAAGTACAGTATAAGTGTTTTGCAAGCACAAATTCAACATACTATCATGGGACTTGTGTTTATGCAAAAAATCAACTAACTATATGGATAAATGTTATGATAAGTATAAACATCATATTTATTTAAACAAACTGTAAACTACAAATTGAATCATTAACTGTAAGACAAGGGATGTTAATTTTGCAAATTAACTTTATTCATATCATATGTAACCACAAGAAAGTGATCATTATGATTACAGGAAAAGAACATTTCTTTCAAATTCCTGCAACTCAAATTTAGCAGATTTGTGACTATTTCTGAACTTTGCAAGCTAGTGGTGGAACAAACAAAATCGTAGCTGTTTCTCAGTTTAAGCAAAATCTTCAATTAGGTAAGAGTGTACTAGAAATATTTACTCTCCTCCTCAAGACATGATGAAGGTCTTACATCATTATGATAAACAGCATTCCACATGTTATCATCAGAACCACCCTTTTCCACCTTATTAATAAGGTTGCTGAAATGATGCCAAAGTTGTGATGCATCTGGACGCTTGTAAGGATCAGCATCACAACACCACTCTGCAAGTTTCTTGTATTCTTCTGGGGCTGAATCAGGCATTAGTGGTCGTAGTCCACCCAAAACATCATGTGCTAAATCCATATCAAATTGCCTATCTTGAAAAGGTGGTCTGCCAGTGGCCATCAAATACATAATAATGCCAAAAGAATATATGTCTGATTTCTGAGTAAATTTGCAAGTGTGGAAAACTTCTGGTGCAATAAAGGGTAAACCACTGTGAATCATTGATTTAGACTCACATGAATTCACTGATTGGGAGAAACCAAGATCACATACATATGATCTGACCCCAGATGCATCATTATGCAAAAGTATGGTTTCCCCATTAAGATCACAATGCACAGATCCCAATTCATAATGAATGGTACCCAAATGCCATGGAATATCCCTCAGATACTCTAATTTCATCCTCCATGTCAACTTGTTTATGTTTTGATCCAAATAAGACAAAAGACTACCACCATTAGCATATTGCATAACAATTATGTATTCTTTTGTTTCCAGGTTTTGTGTGACTCCATAAATCTGGAGGAATTCAGAGGGTGAACATTTGGCATGATTTCTAAACTATTTAATAGAAGTAAATACAGAGTTAGTATTAGATTTAAAGGTCATTATAATTGATACTATCAAAAGTTGCTTACCTCAGAAATAAATAATTCCAGCATCTGATCAAAACACTTGAAATGTTTGAGGACAACAGTTTTTTCTATACCCTCTTCCAAATGCATTTTATATTTAGCAGTATAGACTGTTCCATAACCACCAGATCGAATCTCCTCAATTTCATCAAAGTCAGTATACTGCATATACTTTATATACTCAATACTTTGTATAAATCTGTCCAATAGTGTATGTACATCATTGTAAAGCACCAAATAATATTTTTTAGTAGATGGCTCTTGAGCAATACCAATAACCCAGATATTATCTGGAGTTAATATTGATAGATATTCTTCAATCAGCTATTTGAGTAAACAAATAAGTATGTCATTACAATAATGCATGAGACACAGAGTTATTTATGCATAAAATAGTTTACCTGATAAAAATCAAACAACTGAGCATTCTGCCTGTCAACTATCTGTTTGAGTGTCACTTTCATCAGTTCATTTGCTGTTGGCTCTAACCAATCAGCCACATGTGTGCATCCATGGTGTAATGATGCCATCTCTTGTACATTTGTCAATAGAGAATACTCTATCCATTGTATATAGGCATCATATCTATTCTTCACATTATTCCATGATTCCATAATGAATAAATCCAGTGACTTGTTGCCTGTAGTCCAATCAAGAAGTCTTGGTGCTTTACAATGATAACAGAATGCACTTATCTTAGGGCTCAATCGCCATGTACACCCCAGACATAATCCATACTCATCCCTATCCTTCACTAGACAATACTTCTGTTTACTTGCATCATATGTAAATCCAATAATGACCCAAACATCTTTGTTAAGAATATCAGGATGCTCATCACATAACTAGTGGAAATAATATGTTATATTAATATTAAGCCATTAATTATTCAACAAGTATGATGCAAAATTGAATAAAGTTTACCTTATTATAATATGAATCATCTGTCTCATCAGTTATGTCAAGTGGAATCAATTTAATAGCCATAGAAGTAGGTAGACCATATGAGTGATAATATGTCCAATTAATACATTCAAACGGAATCCATTCTAAATAGGCATCGTTTGCTGAGGTTGTTTGTATTTGGGATTTCTTAATAAACTCGTCGAGTTGCTTATTGTTGCTAGTCCATTCATCGGATAATTCTTTATGTCCACAGATGCACCACACAGGACTACATCGGAGTATTCCACATGCGGAGCAGAATCCATATCGAGAATAACAATGATAAAAGAGTTTATGAGCAACCATGTAGTAATTATCGTCATACTTGGTAAATCCAATTATATAGGCGTTACGACGACGATAAAGCCATTGGGAATATCGTCTAAATTGACTGACATCATCCTTGTATTTTTCTGTCGGAAGTGAGTATATTCTAGTAAACTCACTCACAAATGTTGGTGTACATATCTCGTCACTTCCAAGAAGTGAAAGCGTTATCATCGTTTCATCCTGGGGTGTTGACTTGCGAATAGCGTAGTAAACATTGTCAATTTGACTTGACTCTATGCCGGTAATTTGCGAGTAAGGAATCCATTCAAGTTTATGTAGTTTGTGCTTATTTTCTAATGAGAATTGAATCAAGTCGTCAATTGCCTGATTTTGAATATCCTTGGCTAACGACATAGTTTGAATGAGAAAAAACCCAATTTCGACGGAGAGCTCATTATTTTGTGTTACATCACCCCCGTTTACAACTGCGGAATATACTATACTAATACTAGCAAGCTTATGGTTTTTTTCCCCATTATGTTGTTAATATTCAGATATGTGAACGTCTAATTCTACTATTACAATTACTGGAAACTTAGATCCCAGTCGTTCCGTTCAAACGTTTTATTATGAACCACCTGAGTTGTCGATTTCACATTACGGAAGTCCGAGCTGAGGGAATCCTATTGGCAGTTTAGTAGAAAGATAGCACTCGAACGTATTTATCTATAATTTAATGTGTGTAAAAGAAAACACTGGAATAACAGTTATTTTGTTGTGACAGAAATCAAAGTAATGATATATTTAGTTTACAATTGACCAGTTTGTGTTAGTTGCTGTGCCGGATACTCGATTACATCATCTGGAGAGAATGAAGTGGTAGCGAAATTTAAGAATATTTTGTTGCGTTCTATTTTCTTGTTTTACGCCAACCACGCACGTAAATAGCAATAGTAATAGAATCGATATGTACAATGAATGGAACACAGATCAATCCGATCGATCGCTATTACATCATTGTGCAACATCTACAACGAAAACTATTCATATTAGTCTTATCACTATTGTAGTATACTACATTATTGCTTGCGTGCATCATACCAAGACTACGAATTCGCATTACACGGGCATCTTTGTCTCCTAGTTTATTTTGTAGGCACCACCTGTTGCAATTATGTCAATTATGTCTTAAAACTTACTTGCTTGTGTGATTTTTAAGGCGCAACTACAATGCTTGGGTAAAAAGTCCACAGAATATTCTACATAATTTTGTCATGAGATTCCATTATTTACCAAAGAGCGCTAATCCTTCACTGTGCAAACTTATAAGCGTGTAACGCATTAAGTCTAAATTTTCCTTGGTCGTTATCTCATGCAGAGTATGAGCGCACCTGTACAAAATATTCATATCGTTCAGCGCTTTACTATTACTTCTCCAGTTCCAATAACCTTCCAGTTGTTAGGAGTCGAAAACTCTACCTTCATTGATTGCCTTATTACTTAAGTTAACACTTTGAACAAACATCGACAAATACCTAGCGCCAATGTACAGTATATGCTTAAATGATCATCAAACTGTTTATCAGATAAGGTCAGCGCAGCGAGCCCTATATCACACATATCAATGTCGTTAAGATTCCTTAAATGAGACTGTAACTTGGCACAATTCTGGGCAGGATCTCTTGGCCCGAAAGTTGAAAATTTTGGGCGATCAACACCATATTTGGGAAATAGAATAAATCTTGGCATTTATATATATACCGTATGTTGATAGAATTTAATTCATACAATCAATATTCATAAAATGACGGAACGGAAAGAAGCATCGATGCACTTATCTCTCTTCGCATCAGAAACTATAATGGATTGGGGGGTGGAAGTTTTGGAAAGGTTATCTATATTTCAAAGATTCCATATCCGTATAGCCACTTACTGTATAGTGCTATTACTATGTCTAATTCTTGTCGTTATTATGTAGTAGTGAAGCCGCATTAGACTCAAACTCAACCCTGGACGATAAACGACCGAAAACACCCCCAGCTGACTATGGGCCGTCACTTATTCCGCCAACAACAAATAGTGGCCGAGCGATTTTTTTACTGCCTAAAACTCGATTTGTAACTCCAATATTAGGTGAGAAAGATAAGGTGATTTCATGTATGTCATGTGATTTCTTTAAGAAAGTTACTCAACTTCTTGGTTTTTGAATTTTGAAGGAGAGAATCCACTATCGAATGAGTTTTCTGTCGATGACTGTGTTAATATCAGAGACGATAAATCGGCAATGTTGTTTTCTCCGACGACTATGGGGAGGTTGCGGCTAATCCATAAAGATACTGTATTCATAACCGGGAAGGAAGGACGTGATGACGCTCTTCTTGTATTGGCTGATGAAGACTGTAAAGATACTAATGTCAAGATTAATGAAGGTATTTGATAATGATATTGCGTATAGTGCCATAACTATAACTCACAAGCGGGCTGTCAACCGGTGGAATTGACATTTTTGTTATATGTTATACTCAGCTGCTAGAAACGACCTTTGTGTGAATCCCGGTGATCTGGTAACAATTCGAACGTTTCCTGGAACCATTAACTATGCTTTTCGCATTCAATTTCGGCCGCTTGATAATACGGACTGGAGTGTGGTCAACGACTTGTTCGAATTCTATCTCAAACCATACTTCCGGGACGCATGTCGGCTGATTAGCAGGGATGACCTCTTTCTTGTAAACAATGGCACACATACCGTAAAGTTTAAAGTTGTGGAGATTGACCCACTAGATTACTGTATTGTAAGTAGCCTCACTTGCATTTTGTGGCGATGACATAGGCTATTACTAATCTTTTCCATATTGATTGTAGGTTTTACGAGACACGCTATTATGTTGTGAGAACAACCCAAACGAACGTGATGCCGGAGATGTCATTACATTGGCGATTGAAAAGGAACAAAAGAACGCCGGCACAACTGATTGGTGTGAAAACGCCTTGAACAGCCTTAACAGATTGCTAGAAGCTAAACCAAATGATGCAATTGCACTGAGATCACGAGGATATATATACTACAGGAGCGGTAAGCATGCCAAGGCATTAATCGACCTCAGTAAATCATTAGAGATTAAGCCAAAGGATGCGCTTGCTTTAAGTTTACGTGTTCATGTTTACCTTGGACTTCGCGAATGCAACAACGCACTGCTTGACCTCAATGAATTGTTGGAGATTAAACCAGACGATGCAGTTGTATTGAGAAGAAGAGGAGAAGTTAACCACATGCTTAAGAACTACAACGATGCGTTAAACGATTTGAACAAGTCACTGGAGATTAAACCAAATGATGCGACTACATTGAAATGGAGAGGAGTTGTCTATTACTGGCTTAAACAGTATGACGGCGCATTAAGCGATTTGAACAAATCACTAGACATCAAACCGAACGATTCGGTTACGTTGAGAAGACGGGGAAACATCTATCACATGCTCGGTCAATATAACGATGCCTTGAATGATTTCAATGAATTGTTGGAAATTGATCCGAACGACACAAGGACATTGAGATCAAGAGCAGACGTCAATTACATACTTAAGAAAAATGATAATGCGTTAAATGATTTCAACAAGTTGCTGGAAATTGATCCGGATGATACATGGACATTGAGTAAAAGAGGAAGTGTTTATCACCGGCTTAAACAGTATGATAACGCACGTTCTGATTTTAATGAATTGTTGAATATTAACCCTGAAAATGCATCTGCTTTTGGAGCAAGAGGATATGTTAATTATATGCTTAAGGAATACGAAAACGCATTGAAAGATTTCAACAAAGCGTTGGAATTTGAACCTAACAATTTATCGACATTAATTAAGAGGGGAGAAGTATATTATTGCCTTAAACGATATCCCGAGGCATTAAACGATCTCAATAAATCACTCGAAATTATGCCAAACGCGCAAGCTTTGAGTTTAAGGGGAGAAGTCAATCGTATGCTTAGGAAATATGATAGTGCACTGAACGATTTGAACAGATCATTAGAGATTGAACCGAAAAATGCATGGGCTTTGAACAAAAGAGGCGAAGTTTATTACTGGCTTAATCAGAATGAAAATTCACTGAAAGATCTTGACGATTCATTGAACATCGATCCAAATAATCCGTTTGCATTGAGATTAAGGGGGGAAGTTAATTTCATGCTTAAGAAGTATAATGCGGCTCTGGCTGACTTGAATAGATCATTGGAGATTGAACCGAATAACACATGGGCATTGAATAGGAGGGGATTTCTCTACTGGAGGCTTAAAAAATATGTCAAAGCATTGGAAGATTTCAATCATGTATTACGCATGCAAAGAAGTGGAGAAAGATCATATGAAGTTGATCACTCGAATAAGAAACCCAATAATAAATTGAACGGGTCATTGAAGGATAAAAGAAAAAGTATCAAAAAGTTTGTCAGCAGAATAATACATTAAGCATTGTCACGTATGGCAAAAACTGGCCATTATCTGTATATATCTTACCTTTTGTTGTGGACGTTGATATAACTGCTATATTATTAGAAATTTAAACGAGTGGGTTAAGAAGATTGGATAAATAGGGTGTAGCGTTGAGAAGTCATTCAACCTTTTTTGTAAATTCTTGATTTTAACATGTATTCATTAACAAGATGCTTAATATTAAATTGCAGTTCATGAACTCCAAAACTCGATAGAAAGTAATTGATACACGAGAAAGTACACTGACAGTGAATTGAAGTGTTGATTGAATTCGGTGAATCTAGTGATTCATACCTTATTAAGAAAAGCGGAACATCGCACTTTCCAGATTTACTGAAGTAATAATGACACAAAATTTTCCAAATACGAAAAAGTACAGTTTGTTGAGTGAACAATCAAAAGTAATACCTACGTTTTTGCTTCTATAGTTTACTATTAAATTCTCTCATAACATCAACATAGCCGATTCTAGGCTGTCCGGGCAATGCAAATAATATCTCATTAAAAACTAACATGTCAAATTAAGTTTTTTTTAACCACCTTTGCTTGCATAATTGTGAGTCAGACAGGAAAGCTATCACATTTGTTAACAACCCCGATAAATCGATATTTTGCGTATAAATTATCGGTAAAAGAAAAAACGATACGTAACAAAAGTATCGGCAAACGGTACAGAGAAAAAAAGGTTATTATTGTAAAAAGACATTTAAAGCTTCATTACCACATTTATTAATATCAGTAATAGTAATCTCCCACATTGATAATGCACTAATTTTACGTTTTATATAGTATTTCGTCTAATATCAATAATTACAAAGAAATTTATTGGATCATAAGAATGCAGATAAGACACGCTGGTTTGTATTGCGCTTTAAAGAGTGTTGTTAAGCTGTAATGTAAGAATTTTTTATTGGTTCAGGCGTAAATAATATTAGGATAAATGTAAACCATTTTTTTGATTAGTCGCGTCGCGGTACTCGATTAAATTCTGTGTAAACACAGATCATGCATTTTTTCGTGAGACTTAGTTTTTATTTACTGATGAAAGTAACCACAGTTTTATTGCTTTTATGTACAATAATAACTATAGCCCCGATAAAATTGTTATTATTCGACCTATTACTATATCGGTATGCTAGTCATGAATTGTTTTTATGTAGCTAAACACAGATAAGTGCTACAATAAGTATAAACATTATATTAAGAATATGGATAAATGTTTGAATAAACCGGTGTAAGCTGTAAAGAAACCGATGAATTACAACTTTATTTAAAACCTTGGACAATATTAATATTGTAAATTGACATTATTTATATTATGTTAATTTTCGTACCTGCAACTGAATCATAACTGTTTCTCAGTTTAGGCAGATTTACAGTAGATAAGAAAAACTTTCTAGACTATTACTCTCCTTCTCAAGACGTGATAAAGGTCTTGCATCATTACGATAAACAGCATTCCATATTAATATATCATTGTCATAACTGACTTCTTTAATAAGGTTGCGAATTATCTGGGCGCCTGTTGGGATTAGCATCCTGAGCAAGTTCCTTGTATTATTTTGGTGCCGGATCAGACATTGGTGGTCGTAATTCACCCAAAAATATCGCATACTAAATCTCTATTGAACTGCCTACTATTCAATAAGGAGAAATTATGACTGTTTAATATCTAACACTAAAAACTGGTAATGAATTTTGGCATATGAAAAATATTAACTGCGTAATCAAAGTGGTCTCTATCTATTTACAAAGTGGTAATAAATCTGCCTAATGCGGTTAAAACTCGTGCGTAACTTGTTCGTGTCAGCAAACGGAATGTTTGTCCCACTGAGCGGAAATCACGGAGGAATACGTTGCCTTTCGCCTTAATTCTGACACCCGTCACTAGCAAATGAAATAATGTTTGCTCATTACTGTAATCATTTCTAATTAACCCTTTTCCCATGGGAGGACTTTTTACTAGAAATATTATCATGCCTCCAGGTCATTAATATTTATGTTACGGTCGGGAATTAAATAGGGAGTTTTGGGAGAGCGATTTATCTGTCGTAATTTAACCAAGCATTACACTGCGGAATTTAGCTCGAGTGACCTATTTTAATTATGCGCGCTTCTCACTCCCCATCGGCTGCCTCGATTATCACGTGGCGCACATTTTTTTTCGCCATCACTTTGTCACTCCTGCATTGCAGCGTTAAGTTGCAGCGTTAAGCGATCGATTCTCCCAAAAATATGTCCCAAGGTCAATCGCCAAGCAGCACGTATGAGTGGTTGGCTAAGAGTATTCGGGAAGGTTTTATCAAACACTATTCGAAAGATGACATCGTAGATCGTACACTTCTCGGTCGTGGTGGATACAAGGCCAAGATAAAGCATTCTGGAAACCCAGTCGAAATGAAAGCCTTGTTGCTAAATCGATATGGATGTGAAGAATCACATAAAGACTTTGTCAAAGAGGTTGTCAATGGTTGCCTATTTTTTAATTATTGCAGAGCGATAGTTTTAAGGGCTGTATGAACTGAATTATTTTACAATCCATAATAATAATATTAGCTGAGAACTCATAAACAGATGGATGATCATCCAAACATTATTCGATTCTTAGGAATATCTCGAGGTAATGTTAGACGTCATGATTTTCTGTATATAAGTGATTATAACTTATTCTGCTCTATAATATAAAACAGATTTATCTGGTCCCTATTATATGGTGATTGAATATGTAGATGGCAGAACTTTATGTGAACACTTGCAGAAACACTTCTCTGAGCTGACATGGAAGGACAAATACAAACTGGCTTTGGGTGTTACTGATGGGCTGATGTATTTACACAAACTCAAAATAGTTCACAAGGGCTTGGTATGTATTGATGATACACATGATGGGTGTATAGTAATAGTAAAATATGTAGGAACAATCATAATTTAATATATTAATTGTTACTATTATATAGTCTTCCACAAATATTCTTATCCAAGAAGGCATCACAAAGATAACAGACTTTGGATTGTCTAGTACTCTCAAATGGACTATGTCCAAATCAAAAGTTGAAAGAAATATGGCATATATTGATCCATTATCTTTTAAAAACAAATCCTATAAACGTGGAAAACAATCAGACATCTTCAGTCTTGGGGTGATACTTTGGGAGATTTCAAGTGGAAAACTTCCATG